GAACTCACAACTGCCTGCTTGCAAGGCAGGCGCTTATGCTGCTGAGCTAAATCCCCAGCCCCCAAGACCTTTTCTTAAAAAAAAAAAGAAATTTTTTTTAAAAAGTCCATCCTGGGAAAATTAGTAACAGCCAAATCAGAGAGAGAGAGAGAGAGAGAGAGAGAGAGAGAGAGAGAGAGAGAGAGAGAGAGAGAGAAACAATGCAAACTTAACTATAGTGACAGAAAGCAGATCAGTGACTATCTGGGTATGAGACAAAGAGGTGCAGGGAGTTGAGGGGGGAGAAATTACAAAAAAGAACATAAGAAAGCTTTTGGGAATCGTGGGTATATAAATCATATTGATAATGGGGGGATGGTTTCACAAGTATATATATATATATATATATATATATATATACTTAATTGTACACTTTAAGTACAGATGAACACACATCAGTTGTACCTCAACAAAGAAGGAAAAAGGATATCATAGTAGGGAACATTTAGGAAAGAAAAATGAATTGGAATTTAAGAATACAAAAGCAGAAATGAAACAAATTAGTAGTAACTCAGAAAATTGAGGAAATCTCCCAAAATTAAAATAATTACAACAAAGAAACAGAAAACAGAAGCCAAAAAAAAGTAAGAAAATTAGACTAAACATGAATTATAGCAGCTTAAATAATAGGCCTTCCAAAAACAGAGAAAAAAGAAAACGAAAGGGAGCAAGTCACCAAAGAAACAACTTGAGAAAATTTCCAGGAAACAAAGGACCAGAATTTATGGACTGAGAAGTTCCCCAAGTGCCCAGTGAAAATGAAGTCAACCAAAACACACTGCTGCGAAGTCTCAAAACATCGGGACAAAGAGCAGCGACTGAAGGCCCTAGAGAGAAAGAGCAGGTCACAGAGGAAAGGTCTAGAATTAGTTCTGCATTAGACTCAGGAGCAGTGCTGAAAGCTGACTGACAACACAGCAAGGCTTTCAATGTTCTTACCGAAGATGGGGGTTCGGGAGCGCTAGGAGCCCCGCAGACTCCATCCTCAGACAACCGCAGGCTGGACACCCCAACTGGGATGGAATAAGACCCCCGAGCACTTTCAGACACGGAACGGCTCCACATTTTTCTATTCATGCTTTCTTTCCTAGAAAAACAATTTTCCCTTCTGTTGAAGGGTTTGGGGATGGATTTGGGACCAGTGTATAGACGTGGATGGCGATACGGATGGTGTGAGAAGGGAGACTAAATAGTAAATGTAGCTGTACACAGCTGCAGCTTCAAACAGTGATTATGTAGTCCTAATGACATAAAGGTTAAATATTGATTGTCCATATGATATCATCCTAATAAAAAATGAATGCATTTGAAGGTATGGGAGTGGAGTAAAAAACATATAGTTTAAAACTGATAAATAAGAATTTAAGCACGCTGATTCGAAGCATTGAGGCAAACACCTGAAGCCTAAGGCTATTTAAAGTCATGAATCTCAGGGATTGGGGAGGGAACTGCTATTTCATTGTTAATTTTATAATATAAGAAAAAAGAGATGCTAGAAGAAAGTTTCCCTGAACTGAAAGATCTTTCAATTTCCAAGTAGAGTGAAGACTGTAAGATTCTCGTCTTAAAATGATTTCAGAATATTTCAGGATATCAAACATAAGAAGAAATTCCTAAAAAGCTTCCAGGAAAAGAGAAAAACTTCTGCGTAAGAACAAAAATAATATTGGACTCAGACATCTTATCAGAAATGTTGGACACTAGAAGAAAAAATTCTAGAAATAGCATTGAGAACCCAGAATCTTATACCCAGAAGATTGTTAAGTATATGAACAAAATAAAGATTTAGGTTTATAAGTATTTAGAAAGTTTACCTCCTTTCTCATACTACAGGTTATAGTCTCGTAAAAAATTGAAGAAATAGTTAAGCGTTTTGGAAATCATGAGGAGCTGGCAAGGTAGGTTACTTTTATTAACAAGGAAAAGTAAAATAATTAAAAACCAACAAAAACATAGGTTATAAGAAACTTGTGTCTATGTCTAAGTGAAAATGAAATAAAACATGCCATATATACTAAGCAACCCATAATGCTGCTTATAGTTAATAACACCGACATACAGAAAAAAGAAATAAAACCCTAACATACCGATTCACTTAAAAACATAACAAAGCCACATAATGTTTACAGGGCTTATTGGTTTTTTTTTTTTTAATTTCTCGAATAAAGTTGTGTACAAAACGAGAGATGTGTGTTTATACAGCAGTATATACAATGATCAACTCTGTTATAGGGTAGATCTAAAATGTCCCTCCAAAGTCTCACATATCCAGAAGTGCAACTTTTAGAGGTGACTGAATCACGGTGGGGCTGTAATCACCAGAGGACTGATCCACTGATGAGGCTTTGCTGAATGTGCTGTCGCGAGGCGGGGCTTGGCTGGAGGAGACGCATCACACAGAGTGTGACCTAGAAGGGTGTATTCTCCCCAGCTACTCTCTTGGTTGCTTGCTTCCTGGCCTCCATGAGTTGAGCAACTTTCCTGTGCCTCGCCCTCCCCCACGCCAGTCCTGTCTTCACAGCCACCTGATCATGGACTGAGCCCTCTGGTACAATGATCCCAAATAAACCTCTCCTCCTCTAAACTGTGGGATTTAGACTCACACAAATTCTGACAGTGTAAAAGCTAAGGATTACTGAAAGAAAATGATATGGTACCTGAAAATAATAGAATGAGAAATGAGACTTAGGTGAGGGATTGAAAGTTGGAAGTTAAACAACATAAAAACTATAATAATGTAGCTGTCAAAATTAGCAGAGGATACAGTGTAAGCCGGTTAAAGCTTGCGTTTCACGGTGAGCAATCAGCAGACAAAGTCTACATTGGATTGAAGATAAAGATACTAGGATGCCATTTAGAATTAGATGCTGGTCACCAGAAAAACCAAATGCAGAGATAATGAAAGGTGGTGGCCTAAAGGACGTAGATTACAACAAGGAACGCTTTCTCCGGTGAAACCTTTTGAAGTGCTTTAATATAAATGAATAAAATAAAATGTTGGCTGTTTAGGAAACCATGTTGATAGTGAAAATTAATTTCTTAGACAATCAGGACTTAATGTGTGCAGCATCTGTCATCCATCTGTCTTCGGAGTCCACCCAGGGGCCCTGCTGCAGAATGTGGGCAGTCCTTTCCCATCAGCACTTCCAATCCCGAAGTGAAGGGCAGGTTTGGAGCGGGCATGGGGCACTGTTTGGATGGCTGTGTGTGTGTGTACACATGCTGGAAGATTACAGGAAAAATGAAATGTCTTGAGTTTTGCATAAAAGTTTCCTACTTATTTTTGTAAAATATGATTTAGAAGACCTGGAGAAAGTTGGGTACAAGTCAGGTCTCAGCATGACCGTGAGGGGCAGATCTCATTGCCAAGTGGCACCCTCCACTGAGGCAGAATTCTATTATGGCCTCTGGTCACAAGAGTCCCTTACGTGCTGAGCGTCATCAGAGGTGGCTCCTTTTAGACGGTTCTCCTCTACAAAGCCGGTCAGGTACTTCTGGGTGCCAGCAGATGCCCCTGCTGTTGAGTTAGGCACCTGACTTTCCCTCCTGTCTTTTCTCTTCTCCCTCCTCTATTTTGGGAGGAAATTCCTGTTGGGTAGCGTTTATGATATACATTCCAGAACATGCACCCTGATTAGCCTAGACCACAGCACCGTATCCCATGGACTCTGAAACAGCAGAATCCTGGGCACAGACACCCTGCATTCTGGCTGAGGGTGTGGGCAGCCTGGGGCTCCTGTATTTCAGCATCAGTGAGGGTTCTGACCTTAGAGTCAAATCAGCTCATAGTTATTATGGGTCAGTCCAAGTCTAAAAGCCCCACGACCATTGAATCCCAAGGTCTAATTCTCAGGCCAAGTTCAAGGGCAATTGGTAAAAAGTCGTAGAGTGCATAGGACAGAAAATCCAGAGTTCTAATGTCTAAGGACAGAAGAAAGAATGCCCATGTACAGAGGGCATAGTATGTATTGGGCAACTTTATATCACTCTGACTGAATAGCTGATATAAAAATCTTAGAGGAGAGACCTATTTTAATTCAACTTCAGAAGTTTCAGTCCATGGACAGCTTGCTCCATTGCTTGATGAAAAACATCATGTCAGAGAGCACGATGGAGCCAAGCTGCTTACACCATGCCATCCAGGGAGCAGACAGAAAAGGAAAGAGCCAGAGAACAGACACATCCTCCTAAGCCGTGCCCTCAACCCACTGCCTTCAACGAGGTCCCACCTCCCAGTAGCCCACTGATGAGGACATCAGCCTCATGTTTCTTAATCCAATCAGTTTGACAAGATTAATGATTAATTCACCGAGAGCAAATCTTTTTCTCTGCCATTTTGCTCTGTGAGGACCCAGCTGATAGGATGGTCCCTGCCCACACTGAAGGTGGGTCTTCCCCACTCACATGCCAGTCTCCCTTGGAAACAACCTTACATATGCACACAGAAGTAATTCTTCACAAGTTCTCTGGGCATCCTTTGCTCCACCATGGTCCCCACATCATGATATGCTGTCTCACCACAGAATCAAAAGGAACGAGGCCAATTAACCACGGGCTGAAACTATAAATCAAAATAAACCTACCAACTTTATAAGCTGATTATCTCAGATGTTTGTTACAGTAACAGAAAGCTGACTAACACATGAAATTTATCATCACACCATCTTACTTTTTTTTTTTTTTGTCTTTTTCCTTTTCAATCTTACTCCAATTGCTCCTGTTTGCTTGTTTAACCAGTGACTTATCATTCACACTGGGGCTGTGGGTTGATTCTTCTGTCCATCATCTGTAGGAAGAGCTCCAAAGGAAGTCTATTTTTGTAGTGACCAATGTGCATCACTACATCATTTAAACTAATGTCACAGTAACATCAAGTGAATCATGGAGAGGAGGGAAGAGGTACAGCCAAGATGGGCTGTTAATGCTGGGTCTCTACAGCCTCCAGACACCCACTAACTTACCTATCTTAACTGTTCCCGGACACCAGAAATCATCCTCCCTGCCAGGTTTTTCTGTGTCCCTGTCGTCTGATGGCAGGAGATCCTCTTCCCATGGAGCAGGAAAAGGGAGAAGATCACTGAAGATGCACTCAGCTGGATGGTTGTTCAGATGATGGGCTGATAGCAAAAGTCTGTGACATCTTGATGGCTCATTTGAGGACAGCCCATTACCTGCTTTTATGCTTTGACTCATCCTTTTTCTTGGAAAAAAAGCACAAAATAATGTAGGATAAAAATAATTCTGGGCCCAAAGATGGCAGGTAGAGACTGCCCTTAATTTCCTGGATGAAATGTCAGTGAGTCAAAACATGGGGTCAGCATCATATCATATAAGGGTAACACACACAGCCTATTTTTAAATAATTAGGAAACAATAAATACTGCTTCATCGGCATTAATTTAACCTGTGACTCAGGGCCAGGACTTTGACACTGACAGTGCGAATACTGTCATTGTTCTCCAGGCCCTTAGAAGGTCAGAGAATATGGAACTGTAGGTGGTAGGTTGTGTGATAAATCAGCTTTGCAGGTGCTCAAACCTCTCACACTCAAAAAACTAACACCTGACACTACAGGATAGTGCTGTCGAGATTCTGCTGGGCTCCCCCTTGCAAAGGGCAGGGTGTGTGCCCTGGACACCTCCCAGGTGTCGGGTCATTTCTCACAAGCTCGGTGTGTTTTGCCACGGGCACTGAGGACCTCGATATTCACAAAGTTGGAGAAGCTCGCAGGCACCCACTCTCATGGGGGGGATCAGGTAGGGTCCTCATTGGTCTGTCCACAGAGACCTCACGGCCCCCCCCCACAGAGGACAAATGTCTTGCCAATCATCAAAAGAAAATATTTTTGGGGAAAAATAAGCAACAAGAAGATGGAAGAAACAAATGTGAAAAAAAAAAAAAAAACCATTAAAGAAAAAGCGCTTGTAATCCTGGAAAACTTAGTGAGACCCTGTCTCAAAATGGAACCATTTTAAAAGGGCTGGGCTCAAGGCCCAGCACTGGAGAGGTGAGGGTGGAGAAAGGGGGAGGGAAACAAAGACAGAAAATAATAAATAGAAACAGGAATTGTGGGAAAGGCTGTCTCTGGTGAGAACGAGTGTTCACAGAGCTGAGGAGTGCGGGCCCGGGGAGGAAGGCTGAAAAGCAGGGTAGCCGTGAAGGTAACAAGAGGCTCTGTAGTGATGGCCTCCTGGCCTGGCCTCACAGCCCTGGGGATGGGGCCCTGGCCCTTCCCACCTTTTCCTTCCCTGCCGTGGAGCCCACCGAGACAGAATCAGAAGGGATGGGCTGGCAGAGAGGCTCTCCTCCAAGGCCCCAACCTTTCCCAAAATACCAGCTTACAGAATTTCCCTAACACACCACTTCTCAGGCACCACAGTTCCCGGGAACATGGCCGCCCGAGGGCCAAGGGCTGAGATCTTTCCAGATAATGCAATCATGGTCTCTCCACCTCCCTCCATCTCCTTCCTCATTTTTATCTCCTCTTCTTTTAGTATGTCTGGATGCCCACTGGGCTATATTTGAGTCCAGCAAGATACTTTTAATAGAGCTGTCTTCATTCCTGGCCCCAACAGAAAATGTTCTGTATTTTTAAACCAAAAGCTTAACTCTTTAGTTAGTTTTCAAATGTAACCAACACATTTCCCTACCCAATCCCAAACTGAGCTTTCGACATTTCCCATCTAGGGTTCTGAGTGAAGCTTAACAAATAAAACTGCAGGACAAGACGGATGCAATGGGCATGCTTGTAATCCTAGCTACTCGGGAAGCTGAGCCAGGGAGATCACTCGAGCCCATGAGTTTGAGATCAGCCTGGGTAACGTAGGTAAGACTCCATCTAAAACACGCTCTCATTGTTTATCTGAAATTCTGATTTGCCTGGCAGCTGGAAAGGCTACCAAGCGCATCCTTGACCCATTAGGTAACAACCATTCGCATAAACCAACCATTTTATATGTTCATAATTATTGCCTAGAAGTTGCCCAGAATACTCCTCTGCAGCAGCTGTGTGTGTGCAGATGTGTTTCCGGTGAGCACTCAAGGAAGCCGCTTCAAATGCTGCACTCAGGGGAGGGCTCATGACGGGGGGTGATGGGTCCACTGGATAAGCAGAGGCAGAGCTTTCCTAGAGGCAGCTCTGCCGGAGACAGGTCGGGGTCAGGTGGGAATGCAATTTGGTATTGTTGTCACTGAACCTGTGACTTTGGATTGGCCCTGAGAATCATGAGTTCTGCTTCGTGGAAGGTGGAGGAATTCTTCATGAGAGATGTCCCCAGGTCTCTTTTGTTTTTTAGTGCTGGCAGTAGAACCCAGGACTCCGCACATGCTAGGTAAGTGCTCCACCACTGAGCTGCATTTCTAAACTGTGTTTTGGGACAGCGTCTGGCTTAGCTATTCAAGTTGGCCTTGCAACTTGAAATCCTCCTGCCTCAGCCTCTTGGGTAGCTGGGACTGCAGGAGCATGACCACTCTCAGTCCCTGGCTCTTCTGGAATGCTGCCCAGCACGAGCAGCTCGCACCTGCTCTGCCCAGACAGCACATCACCTGCAGGAGCAGTTTCACCCATGAGCACACTCTTTTAGCCCAATTCCTTCATTTTCCAGGCAAGGGAAACAGGGCAGCTCAGAGAGGCGAGTGGTGGTTCCATCAAATCAGAGTGCTGGCCCGGTGTCAGCCTCCACTCTCCTTTCCCGCGGAACTCTGCTCTTTTGGCCCGGTTCTTATTTTTCTCATGTCAGAAAGGACACACGTGCGCAGTCTTCCCGGAGCTGAGCCACGCGCTTCACAATGGAGCTGAAATTCCGGGCTCTTTCGGCTGCCTCTGCCCACTGCCTGTCAAGGGGAGAGTGTGGTGACGGACAGGAGGATTTATTCCTGCCAGGGAGAGAATGGCTCGCAATTTACAGCCTGCCAGGCCGGCTTCCACCTCATCATTAGAGCCTTCTCTTGTCGGCAGTAATAAATTGCCGTATCAACGGTGCTGACATAACGTGCCCCTTTTTAAGGGCACCATAATTTTTATTTTTAGGAGAATATTCATATTTGATGGCGAGGCTTATGAGCATCCAAATGCTGCTCTGGAGAGAAGATTTCTTTTGCTTTTTTAAGGAAGGCGTAATTCAACTCCTGTTGCTGGTGGCAGGAATAGGCTTGACTGCTACATGTATCTGGGGACATTCTGGGCCCTGTATAGACAGATCTGTCCTTCAGGGGAACCCACTCTGGCTGACACACTTCCCTACCAGCTCTTGTCGGGGTAGCTTGGGAACCAGTCCTTTGGGGCTGCAGCTGAACAGTAGATCTCATCACACCAGGCCACGGTGTTGCCTTCGGGAGAAGATGGCAAAAGAGCTGGAGTATCTGGGGGCTCCCCACCCCAAAGGACTGGTTCCCAAGCTACCCCGACAAGAGCTGGTAGGGAAGTGTGTCAGCCAGAGTCCGGGAGGTGGCTGTGTGCAATCCCAGTACTCTGGGAGACCACGGCAGGAGGATTCTGTGCTCCAGCCCAGCCTGGGCAATTGGCTGAGGTGACTGAGGGACTCCCTGTCTCTGAATTTTTTTTCAAAATATAATAAGGTTTGGGGATGTAGCTCAGTGGGAAGGCCTTGAGTTTGATCGCCAGTACTAGGAAAAATAAACAAATAAGAGTCCAGGCAGCTCCTAGATCTGCGGCCCCAGGAGGTTTCCAGGTGGGGTATCAGGGCTCCGGAGTTCATGCACCCTTCTGTCTCCTCTAGGGTCACACAGCGGCCTGCTGATCCCCCACAGAGCCCCAGTGCAGCTGGACCCTGCAGACAGGCTCACTGAGGAGCCCTGTATCACCCTCTGTCCCAAGGTCTCTGGTCCCCACCTTCATCCAAGGACAAGGACACCTCTGGCTGCTGCTCAGCCTCCTCCAATCTGTGCCTTTGGCTCTACTCTGCACCAGAACCTCGCCAGCTCCCCTGACAAGGGGAGTCTCCACTCCCCTCAGGGGAGGCCCTTCCTCCATCCTGGCTTGAGCTTGCCTGTCCATCAAACAGAAACCCAGGGCCACTGAAGCCTTACAGGGGGCTCAGTGTGTGAGATCAAGGCCGTGTCCCTCTGCTGCTCCTCCTTCTGTCCCCTGCCAATGCCCTTCTCCTCTTCTGCATCAGGCATGGGGTGATGCCCTGGCTGTGTGCACCTTTTCCATCTGGAACAGGAGGAAGGGTCACTGGGCCTAGCACTCAGGGCACATCTGTGCTACAGCATCTGCATCTCCCCCACACATCCGGACCCATTTGTGTTACAACCAGCAATCCGATATTGCCACACCTGCAGCCTGGTGACAAAAAACTCATATACGATGCTTGTCCAAGTGCCAGGCACAAGTTGGAGCACTTCAAAGCGATTTATTTGAGCTGGACACAAATATTATGGCCGTTGTATGCTCAGCTGGGGAGACTGAGGCCCAGAGGGGCTGGTCACACAGCTAGGAGGGACAAGGACCTGGCTGTCAACACTAGAATCTCTGCAGCAACCACAGTGCTGCTTGATTATCACGTTCCTTCCAGGCCATCCTGCCCTGCTTGGCCCACTCCTTCCCACTGCATGGGACAGACCCGAGTGTCACTTCCTGTCACACTGCCCCGTGGTCCTGCTGGGCACTGCGGCAAGTCCTCAGTGAGCTTTGACGGAAGACTGCAGTAAGCGAGAAGTTTCCAAACTTCCCACCTACCAAAGATGGGGAGCGAATTAGGCTTTCTTCTTCACGATGGTGACCACTCATGACCCACGGCTGGCCCATGTTCAGGAGGCAGAATGATGATCCACTGAGCTGATTTCCAAAGCAAGATCAGTTTTACAGGATGGAAGAAGAAAGGTCCCAGAAGGAGAAAGAAAAAAGAATAGGAGATGTCGATGTCCGCTCCCGGCCGGCAGGAAGGACACACGACAAAGTCTGGTAGTGGACAACCTTTTCTTTTTATTTTCCTTCTCCGTACAGCCTGCCCTGGGTTCTCCCAGCTGAAGCCTCCTCTGGTCCGCTCCCCGCGGCTCCTTTTGTGCTTCAGTCTGCCCCAAAGCCTCTACCGGTCCGCTCTCCGCGGCTCCTTTTGGGCTTCTACTTCCGGGCTTCTATCTGGCTTCTTCTTCCGCCCAGGGGTGGCACCGGTATATATACGGGTACAGTGTCCAATCATGTTAAAGTAAGCAAGGCAAGCTGATTGGCTAACATCA